AATATTTTTGCTTAAGCAAGATCTGTTGTGAAGATGATTTATATCTGCCAACCCCTTCTGGTACCTCACAAAAAAGAGTTGCAATTTTCAATACTTATAGCTGTCATAACTTGTAAAACAAGTCGGCGATTGTTAAAAACTTGATATATCGAAATATTTCTCTTAACAAGAAATCTGATATGAATATGTGATTTATGGAACTTTTTGATTTCGCATAAAATTGGATTTAAAGTTTCGATTTCCTTAAAATTTTGCACATACCAATATTTTCTATCTGTATACTTTATGAAAATTGAATACTTCGGTCCGCTACATCTGAAACTCATGCATATTTCTTTTATGGTAAAGCAACAGTAGTGAGTTCAGATTTACATAGAATAATTTAATTTATACAGCCCAATTTTGGGTTAAAACATTTGATGCATATTTCGGAATTAAAAAAATACAAATTTGCCATTTGAAAAAGTTACCGTTTCAAATCAGAATCCACAAGGAATGTGAATATTAAAAGCAAGACAAAACCGTAAGTGCCCAATGCTGTTTTCCCTAAAACAAAATTAAATAAAATTTAGCTTCCAACTTTTAGTCTTTAATTTTTAAGAGTACTATTTTTGATTGCATAAGTAAACCTTTTCCACTCTTGATACCCCTCTCTCCTTTAACATATATGTATTGAAACTCCTTTGCCTTTTATCAAGCTCCCTTTAACTTATATGGGTTTATAAAAACTCCCAAACAAAATTATATATTTAAATTAAAAAAAAGAATATTTAAAAATTGTTTAATGATATTATTATGAAAAAAAAAATCTTAAAAACAAAAACAAGAAAAAAAACTACTTCATTATTAAATATGCATCAAAAAACTCAAAATTAAAATCAACGATTTATATAAATATATTTATAATAAATCATCTTTCAACTGATCTAGTTATATAAAAAAAAAACAAAATCATGCATGACATTACACCACAATTTCAAAACGAGATCTTTCCATTTTTTTCAATCAACACAAACATTTTTTACATAATTTTCATGTTACTCTGTCGTCAGTCAGTCACTCAGTCAGCCATCATCATCATCTTCATATTTATATATTTAAACATTTTTAAGATTATATATATATAACAAAAAAACGTAAATCAAGTTTTAAACCAACAACAACAAGAAAAATTCTTTGAATGTACTAACAAAACAAAATATTAAAGAAGACAAAAAGAGAAATGAAGAACAAAAAACAAATAAATACAATGTTTGTAGGATGTAATGAAAACCAAAAATAAATCGTATAAAAATTGAAATAAAAATAGAAAAAGATGAAAAAAGGCAAAAAAAAATTAAAATAAATTTCAAAAAAAAAATATTTTCATTGGAGGTTCAGCACTGGGTGAGCATATTCGAGTTTTGAAGGAAATAATAAGGATGAAAATAAAAAGTTTTGAATAACAAATTAAATAATTCGAATTTCACTCGGAATAAAAAGAACTGGAACAAGTTAAAAAGCAGTAAGCCGGGCCGAACTTTGAATACCTTCCACCATTTAGAACGAATTTGGAAATAAAATCCTTAAAAAATTCTGTTAAAATTTTAAAAATACCGAATAGAGCCGATATATTGGTGTCCATACGACGTGGTCCTACATAGGCATCGTTTGTCATAAGTCATTTCCATATTCAAATTCGAAACTTGAAATAAACGGTGAATAATGTAGCTAAAATCATCAAAATATCGTATATAGGGAGGTACCGTTATATCGGAGCTGTGCAAACACCTGGACCAACATAGACAATTTTCTGTCATAGGCTGTAGCATCAATTACGAACTTCAAATGCGACATCTCAAACAATTTCGATGGGTATTGTACCTAAACTCGTCAAAATGCCGAATATAGGGAGGTACTGGTATGTGGGGCCTATACGAAGACCTGAGCCAGCATAGACAATTTTCTGTCACAGACAGACCCATTACGAACTCTAAATACGTAATTTGAAACAATTCCGGTGAATAATGACGCTAAAATCATCAAAATACCGAATATAGGGAGGTACCATTATATGGGGGCTATACGAAGACGTGGACCTGCACAGACAATTTTCTGTCTTAGGCTGTAGTATCCATCACGAAATTCAAATACCAAATTTTAAACAATTCCGGTTAATAATGTCGCTAGAATCATCAAAATACCGAATATCGGGAAGAACCGTTATATGGAGGCTATACGAAGATGTGGACCTGCACAGACAATTTTCTGTCATAGGCTGTTGTACCTATTGCGAACTTCAAATACCAAATACCTTTACGAACTTCAAATACCGGTCAATAATGTCGCTAAAATCATAAATATACCGAATATCGGGAAGAACAGTTATATAGGGGATATACCTAAACGTGGACCTACACCACCCATTTTCAATACCAAAAGTCCTGCAGACATAATACACATTTGAGTAAAATTTTATCAACTTACTTCATTTCGTTCGGAAGCTAGAGTGATTTCCACAGACGGACGGACATCGCTTAATCGATATAGTATTTTATGCTGATCAAGAATATATATACTTTGTGGAGTCTAAAATGTATATTTCGAGGTGTTTCAAACGGAATGACAAACATAATATACCCTCCATCTACCCGCAATGCATTCGAAATTTTAAATCACACCTAATTTAATTGGAAGTCGGAGAAGAAAATATATAAAATATGCGGACTATACCAAATAAGTCGACCTACATAGAATATTTTTAAGAATACTTAAATAACCCACTGATAAACTGAAATGTAAAATTAAAGCTGATTTGGTTGGAGATTGGGTCCAAGTTGGGTCCAAATTTTAAATAACATTTTTTCATGGACACACTGACCTATAAATGTGAAATCGAAGGTGGGCTATATCGGTTCACGATATCGTATAGCCCCCATATAACGATACCGCCCGATATTCGGTATGTTGATGATTTTAGCCACATTTTTCAATGGAATTGTCTATAATTCTGCTTGTCTGATTGCAATTGCCTAACAGATCCACCATATCGTATAGCCCCCATATAAAGGTACCTCCCGATAGTCGGTATTTTGATAATTTTAGCCATATTTTTCTATGGAATTGTCTTAAAATCCACAAAAGGAGTTCGCGTTGTGAGTACATTACCACCTGGAAGAGAATTGGGTACATAGGTCCACGATATCATATATGCCCTATATACGGTTCCTCCCGATATTCGGTATTTTGATAATTTTTGCGACGTTATTCACCGGAATTCTTTCAAGTTTCGTATATTAAGTTCGAAACATTTACTACAGCCTATGACACAAATTACTTATGCAGGTCCTCGTCTTCGTATAGCCCCCATATAACGGTTTTCATTTGAGAGGTGTTTTCCGATGGAATTTTTTGAAAGTCCAAATGGTGGAGGATGTAAAAAGTTCGGACCGGCCGAACTTAGGTGCTTTTTTACTTGTCAAATAAATTTCTTTCAAGGACCAACTGACCAATAAACATGGATTTTAAAATAATTTTTTTCAAGGACCAACGGAACAATTAACGAGGATTATTAAATAACATCTTTCAAGTAAATTTTCGCCGTAAAAATACCAACTTCAAGTTATTATTAAACTAGACTTGTTTTAATTTCCTTAAACAATGCCTTGTCGTATCCCTCTACAAACACATTGACATTCATCCAATTCCGTTGTTATTCACTTTTTACAGTTTTCCATAGTTGAGATTCATTCCAACTATGACCCACCCTAATATCACACATGTTGTCACATTGTGGAGCATAAAATTACCAAGAACCAAAAGCAATGGGAAATATGTTTGGTCAGCAATTCCAAAATGCATTAACATAACTGTAAGAAGTGTGGTATACAAAAATAAACAAAAGCATTTTGTGGGAACATTTTAATAAAAAATTTTAATTTTAAGGGACAAAATCTTAAGAAACCCCATGGGACAGGCTTGATTTATAAACAATTGAATCTTTAACAATGTGTGGTTGCTCAAAATAATTGATATTCTATTTGTTTTGAAAAAACATAAAATCATATTTCCCAGACAAAAAGTCATTTCAACACAAACACACACAACCATATTTAAATCAGAAATTTCTTTCTGTTAAGGAATTTTTGGAGTGCTTTTTTAGAAAAGATGCAAAAAACTAAATAGGTATATCCATAGCTGCTTTTGGATGGAAGTCTGTCCGCTGACATTCCTCTATTGAAAATGAAATGTGTTTTTTAGCCAAGATGCATAAATAAACTTAGTATATCCATAGGCACTTATGAATGAATTTGGGCATGTTCGTCCGCTCCTATTTAGCATTCGATTGATATAAAATATGGAAAACTTGACTTAACAATGAACCCTATAGAAGTGGCCGGAAATTGGTTTAGATTTTCTAATATTTATGATCTGCAATACCATTTCAATGGTGGAAGAAAGTAGTCCTGTGTAAAATCAAGAAAACCTTTTCAGATGCAAGCCAAATCAGTCTGTAGCAACGTCTGCTAAGTATAGATACCATTGTAAGCGGAACTTCCACCTAAGTTAAATTGAATTCGTCTGTAAATCCACACACGTATAAACATTAGAGGCCGTTTATATTTGTAATTCTCCAAGGCCAACATCTGGAGGATACATTGTTCTTCTTTTAAGCAAACGTTAAATTTAAACATAGGTTTAATGCCTCAAAATATCGATGAAAATTTCAATTTGAATCGTTTCGGATATAGATATTTCTCTAGATTCCTAATTTGGGCACCAGCAAAATCTTAATTTGCTTCACAAGCTGAAAATGCCTATAGCTCCACAATGCCACACAAATAATGTACATTGATTAGACGATGAAAGCTTTGATGTTGACTTCCTACTACCCGAGAAGAAATTGCCACAACAAAATAACACACACACTATATAGCTATAACAATTGAATGTTGTCTATGTTCTACAAATAAAAATCTAGTAATTTTAAATTTAACGACATAATTCTATTAACATCTTACCCTTGAATTTTCCCGCCTTTTTCACGTACAAATTTCTCAAATGATAGCTTTCATCAGATGGTGGACAGTTATGACACTTAACGTTATTTTTATAAATGACACTTGAAATGTTTTCTTCTTCTTCTTAACTTCAATATATATTGATGACACTGTAAACTGTTATGTTATTTTCTTTTGTGGGCACACTTTGAATGTCCTTTTTCCAGCAAGAAAAATTTGGTGAATGAACGAAAAATCTGAAATTGAATTTCCAAGTAAACGTTATTGGTGCTGTATGGTTAAGATTATTAAGTGTTGAGTACTTGATTCATTTGCTATGGTTACTTGAAGGCAAATTAATGTCTTTTAGTTAGTCGACTCGTGGCGCAAACATTTTGGGCACTTAGCAAAGTACGGTGGGGGAAATTTTGTATAGGACGTGGGGGAATAAGGCTGCAAATACATAAAAAGCTTGAAGTCATGGCTAGGCATATTAATGCCAAATTATAATGAAAAACGACGGCAGGATTTTAGTGCGGCTCTGTAATTCCTTTGTGAAATGTCACAAAATAGGCCGTGCCATGACTTCAAGCTTCTTATGTACTTAGCCCTTAAAAATGTTTTTTGGAATGAAGAATTAAGACAATGCAGTAAAATACAGAACCGGTAAATTGGTACGATCTAGATGGTCAATTGACCGGTTCCAAACCTGAAAAAAAAATTCAACAAATTTGCCTTGTAATGCGTGCTGCGTCGCATGTGGCTCCGTTTTGTTGAAATCGCATGTCATACAAGTCAAACTCTTGCATTTTGGGCAAAAAAATGTGAATATCATCTCACAGTAGCGCACACCATTTACAGTTACATTACGATTGACAGCATCTTTCCAGTAGTACAGTTTAATGATGCCTCCATGGTAGAAGAATTCAGCGCTGGAGAACATTGAAATGTCATAAAATTTTAAATGTTCTTTCAAATATAAGAAGATTTTATGTTTTTTTTTTATACGACGTAAAATTGAGGTTATTATAATTCGCGTTTTTCAACAATTTTTACAAATTTTAATAATTTTTCATTCAACGTTTGCAATTCCAAAATTGATTTGACAGTTCATTGTCCCAGAAGCTGTGTCGATGCGTCTACCTATATTCTTCTACCATGGATGCCTCCCATGGTAGATGAACACATATGCTTATGAACATTGCTTAAGAACATTGATACAAAAATAAGTAGATTTTTATATGTTTTCTTATACGAAGCCAATCGGAGGTTATTATGATATGAATTTTTTAAGAGGTTTTACAAATTTCAATAGTTTTTCATTCACAATTTTTAATTCCAAAATTGGTTTGACAGTTCATTGTCCCATGGATGCCACCAGCCTATAAAGCTGCTATCAGACGATAAAGATAAGGGTATATAAGCAGCTTGGCATCATGGGTAGGCATATTAATATAAAATTATAAAAGGAAACGACGGCAGAATTTGAGTGAGGCTCTGTCATCCCTTTATTATGTGCCATGCGAAGACTTCAAGCTGTTTATGTACTCTTATCTCACGATGTGCGCAACTTCTAAACATGGAAAATTAGACACTACATATGTAAAAGTCATGGTAAAATTACTATATTTAATCCATCTCTGGAGTTTCTGGACTTTTCTTTGTTCATTTATTATTTGTCAAAAGAAAACAGTTTCCCATCTCTGATGTGTGTGTATACAATAAATTGGTAAATATAAATTTTGACAATAAGATGTTGTCAAATGAATAATTTTGAAAAAAATTGTAAACATAGGATTGCATGCCTTTACCTTCTTAATTCTACCATGGGAAAATCCCTTATCGTCTGATAACAGCTTAAACCATGCCAAAGAGTGTCTTTCTGGATGCATTTGCAATTCACTTTCAATTTGAAAATTCTGCTTTTTTACGTACCCATTGAGCTGCTGAAATCAGTTAAAAAAGAAAATCGGTTATCGTAGTAAAACTATTTTTCATTCTTTCGATTTTTAAACAGACCCATTTTTTCGAAAAATTGTAATTTTTTTAAGTGGGAAATGTTAAATTTCTTTGATTCATGAACGAACGGAACACAGCTAATGTTTTGTATCCCAATGTCATCTAACGGCAATTATATTACATTTACCATTTAATTTTGTCCTCTAGTAACAACTGGCAACATTAATATGTTTCCTCTTTAAGTGTAACTATGCATGCCCAGATGGCGCTGTGCGAAAATAAAACAAAACATTTGCTTTTGCTATTATGAAAAAGTTCAGTATTTATTTAAGATTTTTTCTATAAAATTTTGTTCTTTAAAAAACACATTATTTTGTTTATTAATTTTTTATCTCTTTTTTTCAATAAAACACTGAATTATTTGTCAGATTTCAATATATTTATGTATATATTTTTATTATTGTTATATAAATTATTTGCTTGTGTTATTGATTATAAACTAATTTGGTTTTATTATAAAAAAATTATGATCTTACACATTGTTGTTGGAGTTGTATTTTTTAGTTTGGGGGGTTTTCAGTTAATAATTTATTGTTTTCCTTGTCGTGAAAGGTCTACGGGGAGGGAGAGATTTTTTTTTATTTAAATACATTTTATTATGTACATTAATTGAGTATTTGTTGGTAGTTGGCCATTGGGAAGTGACATGTGTCAAATGTCACAATAGTTTTTCATCTATTTCACATATGTTTTTTACATTTTATACATTAGGATGGCAAAATAATACCGGTAGTCGCATCAGCACAGCAGCTGGTACAATGAACCGTCAAAATTTTATTTCGGAATTCAAAATTTTGAAAAAAAAAATCTTTTTTATTAATAACATTTGTGGAAACACCACACAAAAGCATTCTCTAAGCCTCAACGAATTAGAAAATATAAAAAAAAATAAATTTATTTTTGAAGTAATTTTTCCATTTTTTGACATATCAATGTTCACAGGTGCCAATATACCTACTTTGAGAATTAATCAACATACGTCACTTTACCGTTATGAAAGGTTAAAATGTAGTCATAAATAATGTACTCCATCATTATTATCTTGACGTAAAATGTATAAAAATCATGGTAGAAGAATACAGGCAGTCGCATCGACACATCTGCTGGGATAATGGATTGTCAAACCGATTTTGGAATTGAAAATTATCAATAAAAATTATTGAACTTTGTAAAATCTTTTAAAAAATGCATATCATAATAACTTCCGATTAGCTTCGTAGCAGAAGACATGTAAAAATCTACTTATTTTTGGGAAATATCAATGTTCCCAAGCGTTGATGCATCTACCTTTATCTTCTACAATGCAATAAAATGATAAATCAATTTCCCAGTGAAAACGTGGCATTAGGGATCATATGTGTTAAGCCGTATTTACACCGAACGCGTTATATAAATTGACAATTCCCTTGAATTTATTTCAAATAAAGTACGAGTATTTGTAAATCACGTAATATTAATTTTCACAAACATTTTTTGTTAGAATTCCGGAGAATGAAGCCACATATGTATATTCATATAGAAAATGTCACTCTTATTGGCCATTGGGTTTTTTCTTGTTATATTTTCAAATAGTAGTCTATTTATGGGGTACTTTAATTTTATTACAAACTTGTTTTTTTTGGCATATTTATATTATTATTATTTTGGTATAAAAAATTGATTTCAATCTTAACATTTATGTTATCAGTTCCATAGTTTGAATATATTTATATATGAATGTATGTTTTGTTATTTTTAGTATTTTTATAGGCATAATTATTTTTATGTGTTGTATATATATATGAAAGATGATTTTATGGTAGTGAATAGGTTATAGGTTATAAATTACAATATGTTTTTTTGAATTTTTATTCTTTATAAAATGAAAGTGACAATTTTGAATGTGATTGGTGAATGGGAAATCCTTGCAATTATTTAATACAATTTTTAATATTGACAATGGAATTTATGTTGCCGGATGTTATTGATGATTGTGACAAATAATTAGATTAAACTAGGTTTGGTATAAAATTTAAATTTATTAAAACTATATTTTGTTGGTTAGTTTTTTTAGATGTAATTATAAAAAGGAAATGTTTGCTGAAATGAAAACGCAAAAAAAAATATTTTCTAATATGTTCCTTAATATCATGTTTACATGGGGTTTCTGCTGGAAGTGCATTCATTTGGGTGATTTACAATGGAAATGACAAACTAAATCCAATGCACGTTTAAATTGTTGAAAAATACATATCTTTACAACCTCCGATTTGCGTCGTATAAGAAAACATATAAATATCTTCTTATTTTTGACAAAAAACTTTAAAATTTTTGACATATTAATGTTCCCAAGCGTTGTTGCATCTACCTATATTCTTCTACCATGGGTAGTCGCATCGACACAGCTGCTGGAACAATGAACTGTCAAACCGGTTTTGGAAATTTGACAGTTCACTGTCCCAGCAGCTATGTCGACGCGTCTATCTATATTCTTCTACCATGACATATACCATGCGTGAAATGTCACCTGGTAAAACCAGCTGATCTTCACGAATTCTGCATTTACAAAAGACAACACAATTAATACCACGTTCTCATTAGAAATTAAATCGAAGGTATCTCTCTCAAAACTGCATACTCGAATTAACGCGTTCATACGGCGTCATTTGTAATTCATAGAAACATAAAGGTAATGCCACTTTTTTATTATTGTCAAATTATCAGGAAAAGCGACGCCAGGTTTCGGGTGCAATTTTGACATACGTTTATGGTAATGTCAACAAAAAAGCCATGCTAAGATGCCCGGCTGCTTATGGTATCATCACCAATCCAATCAAATAAGCGTTTTATGTATTCTCACCTTTACAGTACGTTTATATATAAATGGTTTAACACACTGGATTTGGATTAAAATTGTCATATCCATTACTTATATTTCAAGTAAATCAAGTAAGTGAAACCTAAAAATCTACCGTAAAACGGCATTATTTGTATTGAACTTTTTTTATAATAAATGATGTATTATCAGAAAACTGTGTAAGTTAGTCTTAAAAAAATCCAAACCAGCTATTCTTATGTCATTTCCGATAGGCTAATAATAGGTTTAGAGTGTACTAGATTTAGATAATAGTAGAAATTTAAATTGTCAGTTCCACTATCTAAATTCAAATTATCGTGTGAAGTGTAAACATGTTATAATGTAGTCTGAGAAAATACTTTTGCGTTTTCACTCATTTGCCTTATGCTATGTTTACATTGAAGCCATTCACCATGAAAATTCACCGTAAATGCCTTCCATGTAAACCTGACATTAGAAAATGATTATAATTTGTTTCTTATTACATTTCCGTTATTTTTTCTCTTTATAAAATATATGTTTACTTTATAATTTAAATATTAGTCCTTCATATTTATTATTATTATTATTTTTAAATTGTTCTAAGACATTGTTATTTGTTAGTTTAGCTTAAATAATTATTCTTACTATAGTTTTAACTTTGATTATATGCAAAAAATATTGTTTTGTTTCTTCGGTAATTGAGAGCAATTTGTTATTGTTTATTCTAGCAAATATTTTTTGTTTATAAACCAATATGGCTTTTCTGTTTGGATGAATTTTGAATTATTATTGCAAGTAGTTTGAGGTTTTATGATTTATTATTATTTTGGGGAATTTAAAATTTATATTGCAATTTTGAGGTTTTTTTATTTCATTAAAGAAAACTAGGAAAAATTGTGAAAAACGTAAATACAAAAATTAAATGATTATAAATATTAAATAAAAGGAATAATAACATTACGAAAGAAAGCGCATAATTAAAATTGTATTGAAAATAGATATTAAAGAAATTAAACATCAGGGGTTTCTCTTGAAGTTTGAACTTCCACGATACTATTAAAAGGCGTTCCAAACAGCTGTTCTCAAAAATTTGTCAACTTTTTAATCATTCGTTTTTCTGTTGTTCATATGTAAACATGCTTATAGTATCGTTTCATTCCTAGGGACATTCCTAGGGTTTACGTTGAAACCTTTTACTGTGACAATTGACAAATCGTGATAATGTTGTGTCGAATTTATCGAGTTTATTTAATTATCACAAAGGTGTTCAATGTAAACGTGTCCCTTGTCATGTAACGAAACTTTAAACATCCTTACGGTGGAAATACATAAAGCGCATATTTGGCTGGCTTAAGTCTTCGGCTGGCTTCTTCGTAGATGAAAAAAGGAGTTTAAGGTTGACTTAGATCGATTTGGGCCCTAGGCTCCTTTGTTCATTTCCATCATTGCCATCCCCACCTTTAAGGTGCAAGTGCATAAAATGCTAGAGGTCATGGCTAATGTCAAATTATAATGGAAAACGACGGCAGGATTTTAGTGCGGCTCTGAAAAGTCACAAATTGTGCCTAGCCCATGGTAGAAGAATATATATAGACGCGTCGACACAGCTGCTGGGACAATGAACTGTCAAACCAATTTGGAATTGAAAATGTTGAATGAAAAATTATTTAAATTTGTAAAAATTGTTGAAAACGCGAATTATAATAGCCTGCGAATGACGTAGTATAAGAAAACATATAAAAATCTACTTATATTTGAAAAAACATTTCAATTTTTTTTGACTTATTAATACTCTCAAGCGTTGATGCATCTACCTGTATTCTTCTGCCATGGCATAGCCATGACTTCAAGCTTCTTATGTATTCGCACCATTAAGGGGATACTGGCTTAAGTCACCGGCTGGCTTCTTTGTAGGGGAACAAAGGAGGTTTAGGTTGACTTAGTTCGATTTTGGGCCCACACTCCTTTGTTCCATAGGCGAAGAGAAAAAGAGGATTTCTATTTTATTTAAGACGCATTGAATTTTGTTAAAATCATGGTAGAATTAAGAAGGTAAAGTCATGTAATCATATGTTTACAATTTTTTCACAATTATGTATTTGACAACATATCATTGCCAAATGTATAAATCCATTGCATATACAGAAACGCGGGGTGGGAACCTGTTCTTTATTATTCAGTGAAATTTGACAAGGTAAGTTACATAAATGCAGAGATGGATAGTCTTATTTGAAATGACTTTACCTTCTTAATTTTACCATGGGCAAAATTAAAAAAGATAAAGTAATTTCAAATAAGCATACCCATCTCTGTATTTTCTGTTATTTACTTTGCCAAAATTCACTGCACAGAAAACAGGATCCCTGACAGGAGACTGACTGCTTTTGGCAACAATTTGACAATAAACTTAGTAGTTTTTGCCCTATCGGGATTTGAATCACTTTGATTTCAAATAACAATTATGTCCTTTGACAGAAAACTTAGTTGTCAGATGGGCTTGCTAGCAGTAAACATACGATTTCACGACTTTACCTTCTTAATTCTACCACGTTTAAACCTAAAAGTCATCAAACAAACAAAAAGTCGACCACAACAAAAGAAACTACAAACCAAAAAGTAAATAAAACAAAAGTTTGTAATTTTTTTTTCAAATCATTTGAATATAAATATTATATTTTTTATATTGGGGGATTGTTTTCTTTGTGTTTTATTTTTATATATAATTATAATTACCGATTTAAACTAAAGGGAAGGGGGTTAACTAACTAGTATGTGGTTAATGTTCTTGTGTTCTATTTTTTGTTTTAGTAAAGAATTAATTATAATTATTTGTTTATTTTTTTAATATTAGTAAAGTAGTGATGGCTTTTTAATACAAAAAAATTGAAAAGAAAAAAAATGAAACACAAGAAGACTAAAAATACAAATCTAAAAATAATAATTATTATTAAACAGTATTGTTATATAATTTCTTTTATAAACATAATTACTACATAATGCACTTAAATGAAATGTTTGTAATTTGTTTTGTTTATAACACAAGTATGGGGAAATCAAATAATTAAAAATATCAGTTCGGAATCAAAGTATAAAAGCCCTTTGGTTCAGAACTGCCTGTGAATTTTAATTATTGGTTTGTTTCCTTTGCCCTTTGTGTTATAAAAAAAATTAACCTAACAAATCCTACCAAATTATATAGAATTTTTGTGTTGTTATTATTTCTTACTACAATTTTGTGTTTTCAAACTTAACCAAATTTTTTTTCAAAAATAAAAACAAATCTATATAATTTTTTTTAAGAAAATAATACTTTTGGCATAGCAAAATAAATTACTAATTAAATTTGTTTTGTAAATAATATTTTAATAATAATGATTTCTTTAAGTTATATGTTAATGTTCCATAACATGACACAGCAATGAAAGTGATATAATTCTTTTTCGAAATTATAATAAAATAAACTAAATGTTTACAACTTAACAAAATAATTCATTTTTTTTTATTTTATAAAACATAAATTTTTGATTATATCTTTAAAGTTTTTCCAAAAAACATAGGTTCAGAACGTAACATAAATTATTTTAAAAATTAAAACAAAAAATTAAATTATTTTTAAATTTAAAAATAATAATATATTACATAGTGCGTTGATGCGTAAAACAATAAAAATAGAAAATTAATGATCTAAAAATAATAACTACAAAATAAAATGTGTTATTTTAATGTTGCAATTTTATAGTCGAAAGTCAAAGTGAAGAGAAAAACGAATGCAAATTTTATATTTGCGGAGAAAAAAGCAGCATAACGAGATTGAAGGATACGTCTATATCGTAGCTTTATGTCCCTACATCAAAGACAGTTACCAAAATCGATTCGTTAATAGTCGATCTAAACATCCCTATACCAAAGCTGGATTTAATTCAGTTCAGACGCGGATATAAGAACTTGATTTATGAAGCCAAAAGTAGTTAAATTACATTTTTTTACGTTTTACATCGCAAGACAGCTGGAATACAAATCAGCTGATCGGACTTGAACTTTTAATGAGCAATTTTTTGCAACTGAATTTTAAAAAGTTTCAGCGGTAAAACTTTTAAGTCGAAACTCTCAATTCCTTCCCTTTTTTAGGCTTTCAAGCAAATATTTGGGAGAGCATAAGCCATAAACAACCTACAGTCGAAGCCCAAAATGATTACACTTATCAAAATTTGCCAAGCTACAAGAACGTCAGATGGATTTGTTTTCTCTCTCATTTAAAATTCCCTTTCTCTTCACTTTGCTTTCAAGTTGTTTAGTAGTATTTTTACTTTTTAATTGTACACATAAAATATAAAAAAATAATATATTTTTTCTACCTTTTCTGTATAATGAGGGATTTTCTTGCCTTTTTTCTCTTATACCTTCATAATTTATATTTTTGTTTTTTTTTTTGGATTTATCTTCTTAAAATTTTATGAAAATTGTTAAGTTTTGTTTTTGTTTTCTATCATTTATGCAGCAGTCTTCTCTAGTTATGGTTTTTTTTTCTTTTTTTTTAATAAAAAATTGTTTTAAGGAGCTCCATATGGGTGTAACCTCTCTATACTCATTGTCGTACCTTAATTGTCACAATTCATATGCGCACAGCTAAACAAAAGGAAAAAATCAGACTCTCTTTGTTCCCGTTTCTTTTAGAGCCTATTTCATTGATTGCTCTGTAGACGCCTTCGCTTCATTCGAAGCCATTCGTCCTATGAAGCTTTGGCAAATTGTATTACCGAACTGTGGCGCATAACTTTTTGATCCATTTCTTTTGCACTGCCTGCCGCCGCTTCCAGATCACTAGCATCGCCGGCACAGTCATTCATATAGAGTTTACGTTTTCTCAATGGCAAATCCCGTTCGGCCATTAACATATCACTTTCGGGTGATGATGAACGTTCGGGCGAGTCGACCGAGGTATGCAAGGGGGCAATGGCGGCTTCCACTTGCCTCAGGAGAATGTCATTATTGCGTAGAGAAGATCTGGAAGAAAAAAGAAGATATGTTAATATGGAAAAGAAAAGTATCGATTTATGTTAGGATTCTAAAATTGCAAAAAAAAAACAATTTTTGGACCCTATTATAAAATAGGTGATCACTTTCTAGCTTATACATATCTTTCAGTATCTTTGTATCCCTTGAAGGAAATTGATCTATACATCCCTGCATCAAACGAGGTAAAAATATTTTGTTTGGCATATTTGCATTTTAAGTTATTAATAGATTTCAAGACATTGGTATACCTTTGATAGGTAATAGACTCCTTGACTCTTGTCGTCAGTTAAGAATCCAGACATCAGAAGACTGATTCCCGTTAATGACAAAATTAACGACTCTTAAGGTGGGAATACATAAAGCGCTTATCTGGCTGGCTTCTTCGGAAATGAACAAAGAAGCCTAGGGTCAAAATCGAACTAAGTCAACCTAAAACTCCTTTGTTCATATGAGAAGCCATCCGATGACTTAAACCAGCCAAATATGCGCTTTATATATTTCCACCCTTATAAGCTTGCGTCGAAATTAAGGTAGTCGCATTTGAGAAAGACGCCAGGAATTTAGTGCGACTCTGTAATCCTTTTATGAAATGTCACAAAAAATGCCTGACTTCAAGCTTCTTATGTACTTAAGGTGTAAGTAAGCTTGAAGTCATGGTAAAGGCTAAATGTCGATAGGTGGTATGATCTACTTGAAATAAATTCTTTTCTTACAGGAGCTCTACTAAATATGCTTATTGGTGTAGGGTACCATACAGTCGACCTCGCTTAAAATTTGACTTTTCCTTATTAATTTACATTTAAAATTTTGCAGTTAGAGTGTTTTGTCAGTAAAAACAACAAAATTCTACTAATTCAATCTTTATATTAGTTTAAAAACTATTTAGACATCTCTACACCAAAGCAGTTGGAAATCAATTATTTAGAATATATTTATTACCGTTATTATTTTGTCTATTATATAAATACAAAAACCGATCTTTATATCCCTAATTGAAAGTCGATCTAGACATCCATGTTTAAAGCAGGTGAAAAATGAATTATTTGACGCCGCGAAAGATTAGTTCGTCTATAAATGATAACGACATCGGTGTTCTCACATTGTCTGAAAAATTCCGCTAGTTGGATTATCTGTAACGGCTTTTTGGGCATAAACGATCTTCATCCATAAAAATCATTCAAACCCGCATCTTTATGTCTCTAGTAGAAAGTCGATCTATGTAACCCTACATTATTATCAATTATTTGACCAATTTTGAATTTGAAGGCGGTCTGTAGACAATTTATCAAGCGATGATATTTCTATAGACCTTCGAGGTAAATTCATATGAATACTTACTCAAATTTGGGTACTGGAGCATAGCCCTTGGCCAAACCCTGCCTCGACAATTCGTTACGCTTGTAGTGCTCAATGAGATCTGTAGCGTCCTGATTAGCATCGCTGTAATGTTCTATTAGCGGGGCTATCAGACTTTGATGTATGCTGGGCGGTAAATGGGGTTGTTGGTGATGATGTGCCGCCTGTAGCTCAGGGTACAACATGTTGTGATGATGATTATTCGATTTTTGTTGGGGACGACGTAACTGCATTATTTGTATGGCCGCCTGGACATCATCTTCATTGCGACTAACAAGTGTAGCAGCTTCTAGGAGGGCAGGATTAATAGTGGGTTGCTGGTGGTGCTGCTGCGATTGATGGTGTTGCTGTTGTTGTTCATAGAGGGCTGGTGACTGCTGCTGCTGATGATGATGTTGGTGAGGATCTGGAGAGTTGGGGCTCATATAATGATGATATTGTTGTTGCTGCTGTTGATGTGGAGGTGGCGAAGAAGAACTTTGGTAATGATAGCCCATATTTTGTTCCATGTGTTGGGTCGTGGGCTGAGAGTGCTGCTGCTGCTGCTGCTGCTGGCCAACACTTAGATCTGTGGGCATTTCATCGGCCATGGCAAAGTTGGCTCCTTGATGACTCATATCCACTAATGTGGCTGCGGCCAATTGTCTTGTACACTGTGATGTGGGTATGGAACCGCTGGCCACCCCACTATCCCTGCTGTGATGATCAGTTTCCATGCTTAGCGACAGGGTGGGAGAGGCCACGGAGGATGTTGGCGAACCGGCTGATAACCTTGAAGTATATGTTGATGAGGGTGACATTGAGGATGATGGTGATCCCGGCGATGCTGGACTCAAGGGTCCCGAAGTACTGATGGAACGTGATTTTTCTTGTCGTGGTTTTCTCGACTTTGTAAGGCTCGATGAGGTACTGGTACCTATGCTGGAGCTGGGTGATTGCGGTGAGCTTGGTCCGGATAAGGTTTCAACTCCCGATGTTGTGGACACCGAAGAGGAGGGTGAAGTGTTGGCTAAAACACTACCAGACTCTGCAGGATTTCCATTTGCTGCCGCTCCCTCTTCGTCCTCATCGGCCATTTCATTGGCATGACCCTTAATGTGAGCCTCCATTTCTTTTTTACTCTTGAAAGTCTCGTCACATATCGTGCATTTATAGCACTTGGAACCATAATGCTGGACCTTGTGTAACTTGAGTACATGATTGTAACCAAAGTCACGGAAGCAGATGTCGCAGTGGTAGGGCTTTTCTCCGGTATGGGTACGCGAGTGGACCTTTAGCTGTTTGGAGCAGGTGAAGCCTTTGCCACAACCTTCCACGGGACATTTATAGGGTTTTTCACCGGTATGCGTGCGCATGTGTATGACTAATTGACCCGACTGGATGAAGGTCTTTTCACACACCGAACATTTGTGGGGCCTCTCGCCCGTATGGATACGCATGTGACGATGCAGTTTTCCCGAATGTTCGAATGCCCGACCACAGACATCACACTTGTAGGGTCGCTCTTTGGTATGTATGCGCCGATGGACCTGGAGGTTTTCCTTGACGCTGAAAAGTTTGTGACAAAATTCACATTCGAAGGGTCTTTCGCCAGTATGTGTGCGATAATGACGAATCTGAAAATGAGAGGGAGAGCGGGTATTAATTACGGCTGTAGTATTGCAAAGATCTGCGAATAACTTACCAGTCTTGCGGGTACAGCAAATGTCTTCTGGCAGACATTACATTGATAGGGATCGCCACCATTTGAGGCAGCATTGGCATTGGGTTTGATGGGTGGTGTTTTGGGTAGGCCGGTTTCATTCAGCTCAAAGCCATTGATCATGGAGGCCGGTGTGGTTGTACCCGACACTGCAGCACCACCATTTATTAGACTCAACTCCCCATTTTTTATATGCGACTTGGTGTGGGAGGTATGGGCCGATTTGCTGCCAAATGTCATGCCACATTGTTCACATTTGAATTGTGGCTTATTGGGATTTGTTTTCCGGCCCACCACTGTCGTTGAAGATGTGACGGCCGGTGACGAGGCTGTTGTACTGCTGCTTACATTTTGCAGCGTTGCAGGTGATGTAGAATTGTTAAGGGAAGCAGGTTGTTGTTGTTGTTGGAGGTGATGATTGTTTGCTGTTGTTGTTGTTGAATATAGTGAAATACCCGGTGGTAATAATTCTGATTTGATATTTGTTAAATATTGTTGTTGTTGCTGCTGGTGGTGTTGCAGAAGTTGGTGTGATTGTGAGTGATTGTTGTTAATACTTGAATTGCCATTATTTTGCGACATTTGTTGTTGCATGTTTATGGCCACATTATTTAGGCCATATGCGTTAATGGATTGTTGTTGTTGTTGGTGATGCTGTTGTTGGAGCTGATGTTGCTGCTGCTGTGTTAAATGTTGCATTGGCATTGCATGTGACAATGGACCGCATAATTGCGTCTGACTAGGTTGTTCCGATTTTATAATCAGTGGCGTCGATTGGTAATAAACCATCGTGCTGTTTTGTGATTCTGAAAGTAAGAAAATATAAGGAGAATTGAAATTAATGACAATTTGAAATAAGTTAAGGATTTAATTTGAAAACATGGACAAGTAAACAAAAAAATAAAATTATAAAACGGAGCGGAATCTTGTTTGGAGTGGAATATTATTTGGCGGATAGACATTTAAAATATTTTTTTGTGGATCTGAAAATATTCGAACATATTTGCATTTAAAGTTATTTACAAAAGTCTAGAAGCAGAAGCTTAAATCCCCTAGTGATTTAGTGGACCAAGTTAGAGGAGTATATAAGGTTGTTGCAGGAATCTAGATTCATCGATAACAGCCATAAGCGATCGATTTTCCAAATAAAATATGAAGCTTTCGAACTCGCAGACCCAAGTTTAATGTTTTTTAAAACCATACGTCTAGACCAACTGCGGTATTAAAATTTATATTTTTATATTTTTAATTTGGAAAGTATTGAAAATGAGCTTGAACTTTAGCATAAATATTGAAATGAAGAAAAGGAAAATAACCTAGATTCGATAGTTGCTTGTAAGAAAATCAGATTTTTTATCCAAAGATAAGAGAGGCATTCCTTAGACCCACCCATTATAAATTTTATTTTCTACCTCTTTTATTTATTAATTTATTTGTATTTATTTTATTTTGAAATTTATTTATTTTATTTTGAAATTTATTTATTCATTTTATTTTGAAATTTAACAAGTAAGCAAAGGCTACAGTCGAGCGGGGCCGACCGTTGAATACCCTAGAAACGATACAGTTTATATAGGCCAGATACTTGAAAGTATTCCGCAAGATATTGTGACAAATAATAAAAGAAAACCATCAGGTTTCGTTCTCTAATTTTGGAATAATAGCAACTTTAACTAATTTGCTCATTTCCAATCTATTGGTAGATGTTGCACGTAAATGGTCTTCCTAGATCTGGAACCAATATTTCCCAAAGACCTATAATCTCTCAGAAGTGGCAAAAGATTAATATTTATTATTGGTTTTTGACTGAACGAAATCAGCGTTAACGAAATAGTCAGAAGTGCGTCTTTCCTGTATTTGTGAATTCTCCAAAAAGTCACTGGAATGGACATTTTCGTATTTTGTCTATAAAAGTTGGCAAACTATTTCACTCATTGAATATTTTTGGATGACCATCCAAAACGGCTTGGCTTTTGTAATGTCCGGTAACTCCCATTCAAATGTGCGTGAGGATCGGGCGATAATTACGACCTGCAGACAATAGGTGTGTCCGGTTACCCTAAAATTTGTAACAATTGTTACAAATTGTTACTGAAAGTCGTCTGTTAACCCGAAAGTTCCGCAAAAGAGAGCGGTTGGAGAGAGAAATTTTGACAGTTCTTTCAGTGAGAGTTTGCAAATTCTTGCTGGACAAATTTCTTCTTGCAATCACTTGCAACTCTTCTTCTTCTCATTCATCGACATTCAATCAGATGTTTTCTATTGTTTATTTATTTCTTTTTGTGATTTTAATTCGAAAATATCTTTTTGGAATTAACAAGACTAATTGTTTTTGGAGAACAACTTTACAAAATGTGAAAAACATAAATATTAATATGTAATAATAAAAAATAAAATACTATTTCCAACATTTTTAGACAAATGCCACCAGCAACAGGTTTAAAGGATTCCGCGGAACATATCAAATCTATCTTCCTTTTATTGCTCATATTTTTATTTTATTGTCAATTTCTTTTTTATTTATAAAAAAACTTGTGAAATTGGTGGTGGTTCCTTTCGTTTAATTCTTTTAATGGGGGACAAATTGATTTGTTTTGACAAAACAGCTGATTAGTTGCAAGCTTCTGCAGGAATACCGTCTGTTTACTTTTCGCATTTTCCTTGCAAAAGAGAATAAAACTACCTTACTCTCTCAGAAAGATGTTGCTGGACAATTCCTGCAGGAAAAGTAACCAGACACACCTAATTTTGCAGTTTTTTGGTCCATTTCAACCCCTAAATATATGGCGATCATCTCCAAAAAGAGTAGGCTTCTATTCTGACCCTCATCTTATCCCCATGCAAAATTTCGTAAGGATCGGGCCATAAATGCGATCTGTATATGATATCCTGATATCCTAACTACTTAGTTTTGTTAGCTGTAGAAATATTACCAAATGTTTAATTCAAAATGAAAATATGACAAAATTGAAAAAATATGAGAAAATATTACAAAATCAATATTTTCATCTATAGAGAGATATTTTTATGCGATTTTTTTAGACGTTTTTTCTTTCCTGCCAAGAGGCCATTCTGAATTAATGAGAACTGTCGAAATCAATTCAGTCGTTCTCGACATATAAGAGATCTTTCAAGCATATCCTCTTTGATAGACATATATATCGCACATATTTTGCTATATATCCGATTTGTTGGATGTTAACATCAATGTAAAGATCAGAAGTAGCCTTGTCATGGCTTTGTGATTTAGACGGGATTTCAAATATTTGCGGTTTAATGAAAAATTTTGAATTGTTTTCAACACAAAAGATATGGTCTATTTTACCCGCTAAATATTATCCGATGACCACCCAAATTGGTTGGCTTCTTCCCTGCCCTAAATTCTAGCTACATGCGAAATTCCGCGTCGATTGGTCTATAATTGTGACCTGTATAGCTACTGCAAAATCCGACATTTTTTCAGTATTTGGTCCATTTCAACCCCTAAACATTTGGCGATCATCTCCAAAAGAAATAGGCTTCTATTCTGACCCTAGCCCCACCCCCATTCTAAATTTCGTGAAGATCGGACCATAATTGCGACCTGTAGAGTGATTACAAATTAACATGGACAGACGGACAGACGGACGGACGGACATACATAGCTAGATCGACTCAGCTCGGCGAGCTAGGAAGATCCATATATACTTTCCTATGTGGGAAACCAATATTTCGAGGTGTTACATAATTTTTGGCCCAATCAAACTTATAATACCCCCAACACATAGTGTTGTAGGGTATAATTATTTCTTCTTCATTTTTTATTATTTTTCATTTATTTATTTATTTTTTATTCATTTTTTTTATTTATATATTTTATTTTGAAGACTTTGGAATATTAGTGGCATTTATAGCATTTATTTTATTTATTTATTTTATTTTAAAATTTGTTTTTTTTTCATTTAGTTATTTCTTTTTTTATTTTTTATTGATTTATTTTTTTCTTTTATTATTCATTTATTTATTTATTTTTCATTTATTTATTTATTTTTCATTCATTTATTTTTTTTTGTTTATTTTATTTTGAAGACTCTTCATGCAAAATATTAATAGCAACAATTTTATCTCCTTCCCCAACGTCAAGGTTTATCGAGTTTTCCAAACGCCATTTTGTAAATATTTTGATTCCCAAAAAACAATGGGTAGATACAGAAAATATGTGTATGCCGGCCGGTAAGAAACGGGGACGTCTTACTAAAAACATAACACACATTTTCCCCAACTCCTGCTCCCCGCTATAGGAAATGAAAAGTTACCAAAATATTTACACCGGCAAGAAAGGAAAACAAAAACAACAAACAAAACAAAAAAGAAAACCCCATGAAAACCCACCCTCTACGCACTTTATGTCTCACTCAAAGCTTCTCGAAAGTTCCCACTCCAACTAAAGAAACTGCTTGAATGTCTTCAAATTGCTTCGTCAGTTTTTATTTTCATTTACGAAATTTTTGGAAAATTCCCAATTTTAAAATCCTGAGACCTAAACGTTGATTTTAACATTTTTTTTGTAAAAGACTCTGAAGGGAGCCTTCTCGTAGATTATACATTTTTTATTTATTTATTCAATAATTTGTAACACAGAAGCCTTTTTAGGCCAAAATAGCCTTACATAGTAACATTACCAAATAGAAAATATTTTAATAACTAAAAGCAGAATTTTCAGGGGCTATTAGAAGGATTATTTCGTGGATTTTTAATACATTTTTTCTATCGAATTTAACGTCGATTTTTTGAAAAATATGTTAATTTTTGTTACTAAAATGAGTGAAAAAGGGTACTTTTATCCTAACAGACCAAACGTGGATTTTTATCCAGGCCTGGGCATAGACTCGCCCTTTTATGTTCTCCCAATTTTGTTACTCTCTGATTAGATTGTTTGTCGAAAGTTCTGACTGTGAACGTGGAAAGAAGTAGGCTTAAGGAAAACACGCTTGCCCCCAATTTAATTTTTAGAGGCTATTAGAAGAAAGTAACGTTGAGGCCCAAAATGTGGGTTTTTAAATACATTTTTAGAAGAGGTAAATGTAATTTTGTGAGTTGATATTTAGGGCTATTAGAAGAACCTAAGATTGCATTTTTCAAAATAATTTTCGAGGTTTTTCGATGTAATGTATTTTTTAATTTTAGAGGCTATTCGAGGCACTTTGGGTTTTATTGTTTAAATTTCATCGGCTATTAGAAGGACCAAAACATGAACTTATATATTAATTTTAAAAGACATTCAGCAGGACCAAAATTGGTCTTTTAATAATCTTATTCAGAGGCTAGTAGGTGTGTTATTAAATCGAGGAAATTTTTAAATATATTTTTTTTCGGAGGATATTCAGAGGAAATTTTTTTTAATATATTTTCGGAGTTTATAAAAAAGAATTTTCAATATTTTCCAGGGTTAATGGAAAAAGTACCATCGGGGATTTTAAATAAATTTTCGATGTTGCTACACGCGCTTATTGTGGGTTTCTTTTAATGCTACTGAGAAGCTGCTAAAAAGACTATCGTTCATATTTTAAAAATTTTTTAAGAAGATATAAAATTGATCTTTTAATGAATATTTTCGGAGTGTTTTAGAAAAAGTTTTAGCAATTTAAAATATATTTTATCAGTTTCATATTTGCTGTGAATAAATGAGGGTATATCCGATATTAAAGGCATTTTCTATTCTGATAAACCAAAAAAAAAAAGGAGTACAAACAGAAAAAGTTTTTTTTTTTAATATTTTCTCAAAACCCGTAACAAAACATTGATATTTTTTGCCATTAAAGTTCTG